TTCCCTCTTTCTTCCTCCTCCAAAAACTAGGGCTTTTTTCTTTCAAGCCTCTGAGCCTCGGATCCTCGCAGCCTCCTCTCTCTACCTACTAATTTCAGGTGATTTTTCTTTGCAGTTAATCTTCTCGCACCTCGGCTCCCCTGCACGAGTCTTTCACTCCGCTGATCTAACTTTCTGAATTTATTTTCTCCAATTATGATTTATCTCAGGGGAGGAGGACGAGGTCTGGGATCAGGGCTAATTATCATGTGAGCGACCTTCGTCATTAGTTTTGGTTTTTAATAAGTATTTTCTTTAATTTCTTTTATCCTCGCAGTCCTTGTTCCGACGACACCTAATTGCTTTTTGCTCAAATGTTAAAAATTTCCAATCTTGAGCAGTAGCCTAACGAGGCATCTGGATGATGAGTAGAAATAATGAGACGATTGTATGCATTTTGGATGGAATTTGTACCTTGGATTGAAGTGCTGTTTATGAGGCGGTTTTTTTGAAAATCTTGCAGTTTGTCAGTTTACTAGATGTGTTAGTATGATGAGCGATGTTAAGAAGTGTAGCTACGGCTTGTAAAGCAGCAGAAGTGGAGGGGAGTTCCTATACCTTGGCTCAAGTGCGCTCCAGAAACAGCACTTTTCTCATGTTGAAACATTAGGCTGTTGAGAGGGGAAATCACTAGATGATTGCCTTTGAGGAGATGTAGTATCTAGATGAATTTTGTCCGCCAACCTTCCCACCTTGAATAACTAGTCATGGACTCATCCATCTCGAAATAACATCTTCCCCTTTTGCACAATTGAATAACATGTGTCTGCATTACCACTGTTTGAGAGCTTGTGATCTCCATTCAGCTGCCGAAGCAGCTTATCTACTCTATTGTTATCAAAGGCGCCTGCCTCATTGTCCCTCATGTCCCCTGTTGATGCGGGACGGTGGCGAAACGTTCTGTATCTGATGCGGCAGCGCCTTTGCACCTTGCAAGTGCTTTGTTGTGAGGGCGCTTGAACTGGGTCTTTATACCGAATAATTTCTACATTTCTAAACTTGAACTGTGTGAGGGTGCCTTTGCACAGAGTGAATGCAAGGCATAGCCTCACGTATTTTTGTTTTTTAACATTTGAACTGGGTCTTTATACCGAATAATTTCTACATTTCTAAATTTGAAGAATACCTGGTTTAGCATTTTCTATAGGTATATATAGAGAACACATACGGTTGAAGTTTCTAAGGTGAATTTCATGAAATCACAGAGTATTTTGTTCAACTTGCTGTATAGGTGAAAATTTGCATATAGATGCACTAGACCCTCTCTCTATTTTGGCCTTTGTTACGAAATGCAAAAAGAAATGTAAAGGTCTGGGGAAGAAACTATCAACGAAACATGGAACCTTAATAAACGGAGACCATGAGTCATCATAGCAGAGGATGATGGTGAGTGTTCGATTATATTCCAGTAAGGCAGTCAAAATGGCCGCATTGTAGATTGGAATATTAACAACATAACTTGATAGGCAATGGAATGAAACCAATGACAGGTTTTAGCAACAATTGCAAGCACTGGGGAAAAAGATCTGTAATTTCGTTTGTAGTCTATAACTATAAGGGTCATAGTTGTTTGGTAAAACAATCTAATCCTGATTTTGTATTTGTTACTTGTAAGAGTAATATGAAAATCAAGGAATAATTTCGTTTAATCCTTCTCCTTGAACTAGCTTTGACTTCCATGATTGAACTTCTAATCTTTCTAGCCAATCCGACATATACCTTGAACAGTTCCCTTATACGCTATCCTGATTTGAGCAGACTATTCCAAACTAGCAAAGCGGACAACAATCACCATCTCCTAGGCTCTAGATGAAAATTATTTTAGGTTGCATTTTACTAGTAATCCACGTCACTGTTTTCAAAGACGAGCACCTCACCGCTCCTCATGCGACCTGTGATGCGAGACGGTGGCGAAGCACCCCGCATCCGATGCAGCAGAGCTTTTTGCGCCTCGCAAGCATCCTAACTTTGCACATGGTTCATGTAGTATCCCTGTATATTTTTTATTCGTTAACATTTCAATCGAGTCTTTATACTCGTAAACCATCTCCCAAAAAACAAAATAAATCCATTAGGACTTTTTAGTAGTCTTCAGTTGAGGACCGTAACTAATCATTTTGCTTGGTTATTGGTCTTCATTTGACATTTGATTTGAAAAATTATGAACTTTGCTACTATGTTGGATGTGGTAGCATTAAAAATTAAGACCTTATATTGTGATTTGGTAGTAAGATATTATTTATCCTGTCATTACTGTTTATGTGAATTCCTAAAACGTATTTTTCGTGCTTGATTATCTAGAAAAATTATGTGTGGTGTGCTCCTCGCATCACTCAGGCATGCGCATTACGTTGCGCCTTCCACATGTGCACATAAAGGTACTTTGCCCCCCTGCATTGCACCTGGGACATTTAGAACACTGATCCAGGTTCATAAGAATGCAAAAGTCAATACTAAATTAGCTTTTGACTTTTTTATTTTCCATGTATGATTTTCTATATTATCAGAATTTAGTACCTATAACGCTTTTTGTATAAGGAGGTCCTACAACTGCTTTTTCCGGCTTAAGGAGTTACAGTGACTTATTTGCATTAATTCACATTTGAAATGCATTTGTGATGACCATCTTATTGACATATTACTATTATATTTTTGATATATTATTTCTAATTCAATTATTCTTTTTAAATATGTCTCAGATGGAGGATGGGAGAACGGAAGTAAAGAAACTTGTGGGCTGTTAAGTATTTTTTTGGTTCTAGCTTCCATGGCTTTTAAGCAAAGGAAGCCAGTGAGGAACCCAAGAAACAAATATTTGAGGCCTGGTGCCCTTGCTCAGATTCGTGACAATAGAACCACATCCAGAGTTGGCATTAGCCTAGGCAAGAAAAAAGCTGTGCTGGATTTGGTCAAAGAAAACATATCACATCAAACTGAAGTTGCCTCTCACAGCAGTACACCTACTGTGTCACCGAATGTGCCTGTTGAGCCCAGCTTAGATTTTGTTCATGAGATCAATAAGGAAAAGGTACCGCACACACCGAAAACACCACAAGGTGAAAAAGAATCAAGGCTGGAATGTCTTCCTATGGACTTAATGGTATGCTCGAAATAGCAGCATATGCCTCCTTTGTTTTAAATTTATGGTGGTTAAATTGGCCTAATTGCTGAGCTTGCTTATTTCCAGGTTAAAATTCTATGTCATATGCATCATGACCAACTAAGACCTGTTTTTCATGTATCTCAGAGGATCCGTAAGGCTGTAAGTCTCTATCTCAAAAAAAAAAGTCATTGTTATTAGTATTATTGATGACATAATTGTAGAGGTGTGTGTGCTTTCCTTTGTTTTTTCTGTTTTTTTTTTAAATAAGAATGAACTTGTTGGAATAACTCCCAGCTGCGTCTCTTTTGCTGGGAGATGAAATTACTTTAAGCATGTTCGAGGCATGCCTCACCCCTTTGACTACCCCCGCTCACCAGAAGGTTTTCTAGAAAAGTTCGAACTTACTCTGTAGGGCCTAATCACTTTTCATCTTCTGATTTGGACCATTTGGTTGATAATTCTCTTATAGTCTTATTATGGTTTTTCCACGATACGTAATTGTATGCTAAATCTAGCTTAAGTTAAAACGTGATAATTGCTTGTTTCGAGATCCTTATACAAAGTCCCTATGGTAATTACCTTCAAACCTTTGTTCCCAAACCCTAGATAGCCCTCTTTACTCACTACCTATATTTTTCTTGTTGATCTTTAATTATCTCAAAGCCTAGATGAGATTGCACTCAAATACATTGAAGTGACAACAGTGGATATTAAAGCCTAAACACTACCAACCCTAGCCACCAATTAAGATCCCCAAGTCCTATCCATTATAAAAACACAAATACGTTTAGCCTGATTTGGTGCCAGATGACCAGTTGGTTGACCTACTGGTTGTACAATATTTGCAGAAGCTAATCAAATTCAACCAATACATCAAAAGGTCGAACGGGTTGATCTGTTGATTAACCACCAAGTCATTTTACCATCTCTTTTCAGCCTCCAATGCATGTATCAACTATCAAGCTACATCTCAAAAACATACTTCATCATTTGTCACATTCACCGCTTCAAGTGCAGCTTGTTTGGGGGGTTTTCATTTGTCACATTCACCGTTTCAGGCTTGAATATCTCACTTGCACAGCTAGGATTTGAAGATTCAGGGTAGTAGTCATAGCTTGTTCTTCTTAACTACAAACAAAACTTAAACAGTACATTACTTTTCCCGACCGTTCAGGGCACTTATAGATGCTGTACCCTGCTTGTTATCAGATCGAAGCATGCTTGCTCCTATTGCCAAAGTTGTAATCATATAGAATTTAACAGTTTCTTATAAAGTTGAATCATTTTTAGAACATTTTAATCATTCCCCAAGTAGTGATCTACAATCAGATTTCGGGTCAGTCAATTCTTGCAATTAGACTTGAAAAGCTTTCAGGCGTCATCAGCTTAGTATAAGGAGGAGGCCTACAACGTCCTTTTTCTCATAACAGAAAATTGCCCTACAGATTGTAGCAATTTCAGAAAATCCATCATGTTCCATTGTTCATAGTTTTTTGTATCCAAATTAATTAACTTTGAAAAAATTGTGTAATTCCCTGAGCCTGTTGGTGCTCTGTAGGTCGTGGAACCTGCTGAGAGCAACTCAATTTTGGGCTCAATCCATTGCCAGAAGGCGCTAGCATTAGTTGCTCTTGTAACTCTTTGACTTCATTATCTAAGCCGTTCAAAGTCCTTTAGTTTTCCCAATGTGGGACTATTCAGGGCATCACAAATTGAAAACAAGGGATCAAAATGCCACTTCTAAACCTTTATGGAGTTGTTTTTGCAGACCATGCAAACCTTAGTGCCGTAGGGCAATTTTCTGTTATTTAGCAAAACAGGTATGATTGCCTCAGTTACATGTATATAGTTAGAATTTAGTATCTCATCAACTTTTTGACCAATTTCTTCACTTTTGTTTACTTGAGAGAAAACATGCTCACTATTAAGTTGATGTCAGGTTGTTATAGCCAGGCAATGGCATTTCAATTTCACAACCCCTGATCGATCTCGACAGGAGATGCTCAGAACCATGACACCACTCCCAACTGAGCACTGGCCTTTTGTCAGGTACAAGTGCAAACATAAAGGTCTTCATGGGTTTCTCTGATCCTTATGTTTCTCAAACATGAAGGTCTTCATGGGTTTCTCTAATCCTTATGTTTCTTACTAAAATTGATATATTTAAATGTTTCCAGCAAGGGAGATGGCAATATTGTCCTGGCTCCAAGCCCACATACTCCAAAGGCACCAAAACACGCACCTCGCTCTTCTCGTCTTAATCATATTGACATGAAGCAGGTTGCTGCTGTTCTTTTCCCAGAGTCTGCGTTTCCTTCGAGATGCATGGTGTCGCTCCGTATACAAAGGCCTGCTTTCAAGTCCATGGCTTCTAATAGGCTCCTTTTCAATGAGGAAGAGTTGTGCCAAGCAATTTTCCAGAACAAGCTATGCTGAAACTTTTGGAGAACTTCCTTTATGTGTAAATGCTTGTAGTTTTTTAATCTAGTTTTTAAAGCGCTTTCAAGAAGCGTTTAGTGTTTAGAGATGAGTCACAGACTTTGGTAAGGTCAGATTAGGACAAGTTTGTACTAAGATGAGTCACAGACTTTTTTGTACTAAAATGCTTGAATTCTGGTTTCTTGTACAGTTTTGTATTGAGTTGAAATTAGGATACAGCCAATTACTCTTAATTAAGTACTAAACATTTTCTGCTCTAGTAATTTCTTTTTGTGATATGCTTCAGGCTGATTCCGGTTGAAATTTAGGCCAAGAAATGATGTATGTTAATCAAAATGTCTATTGATTTTCTTGTTGGTTAGATGAATAATTTGCATGTCACGATATCATACTATGTTTGAATCTGTTCAGCGTGCTTATTAACTTTTCTCATTCCTCAGTATCCTTTGATCTCAAATAAGTGACCTAGAAATTCTTCTATTGTTCTTGAACGAGTAATTGGAACAATTTCCCTTCTTTTCTATCTGATTGAAAATATTTGTCTGAGGAAAAATGACTTAAGGACCCAAAATATGGGACCAAGGGAGGGGACAGGTGAGGTGTCCTCTCCTTATTGCATAATGAGTTGGCCATGTCAACTCATTATGCAATAGGGAGGGGACACCTCACATGTCCCCTCCATTGGTCCCATATTTTGGATCCCCGTAGCAGCACTCTTGTCTGAGCCCTGCTCTGAATTTTCTTCTTACGATGTCTCCAGAGTTTCTCTTGAATATCTTTAATTTTTAGAAAACTTGCAGGACATAGTAGGATTCATTCTCTGCTACAACTTTTCTCTTAACGTTCAAGAAGACCATCCAGCTCACCACAATTATTTGCATAGGATGTGAAAGTAATTCATGATAAAAACTTAAAATGCACATATCCATGTGAATCCTTCTTATTTCACTACCGCTTCAAAAGGAAAAGTTACTGCCAAACATATCAAAATGATGGTGCTTATTTACGGGCACACATCGATGATGCTTATGTAAGATTGTGAATATAATATCTTACGTAAACATCATTGATGTGGGCCCATAAATAAGCACCATCGTTCCCTCATTGTTGACTAGCAAAGACCATGAAACTCTCAACGTACCATATTTTCATTGCGATGCTTATACAAAATAATCAAGGTCTTAAATATCGGTTATTAGTGATTTATCGGATGGTTAAAATTTATATAAGATAACGGATATCAGGGATATATCGGAGATACGTAGTATTTATTGAAATGACATTACTGGATGATGTATATACATAATATAATATTCTAAAATGTAATCTAACAATACTTAATGAAATATAAACATACCAAAATGTAAATAATCATGTTTAGAATCATTAGCCAATAGTAGAAACTTGCTTCTTGATCATACAATGAAACCATTCGAGTGCATAGTTAGTAGAAATGGAATAACATACAAACAAATAACAAGATAACATAAAGAATAAAGGATCATCAACATAATTATTGTGTAATCACGAGATTATAAACTAACTTACTACGTTGAGATTTAATAGTTATGAACCATGTTAATATTCATACACAAACATAAGCTAATCACCAAACAACCAAGTTCCAAAAGCAACAAATAGTTTATAATTCTTAAACATCTAAAGAGCAAATCTAAACCCAAACCCAAACCAAAGGCTGATAATTCCGATATTTTAAACCAACAATATCGGCTGATAACTCATTTTATCGACGCATTGTTGCCGATAAACATCCAAAAATAATAACCGATTTAAAATCAAACTTATCATAGCGGAAAATCCCCAAACCGATAATCACTAATAATATCGTTTTATCGACCGATATTTAAAGCATTGAAAGTAATGAGATAGTAATAACTAAATAATTTTAATGGGCATCTTGCAATAACAATGTAGTTTGTTATCTACAGTTGATCCAAACATCTTCAACAAAATTTAAACACCAACGTTAAAAAAAAGATAAAAATATGAGGCAAGAAGCTAAACTATGCTCATCATTTTCCCGGATACTTTTTTTATTCAAGTATCACGGCAACAAAAATTGCTCTGCATCTTTACATCAAAACCCTTGCCTTAATGCAACTAAACGTCAGTACACCATAATATTGAAACTACTGTCTACTGTACAGTGATGCCAAAAGCCAGCAGATAAACATGTCTACCGTACAGCGACCAGGATGCAGCGGCCCGTTGCATTCCTCCAGAGAGTTTGCACCTTCTCATCAACAAGACCGCCATAGATACTGAAAGATCAATTGCATCTAGCTTTAGTCATGAATTCCAGCAGCTTGATTCACTTCTGCATGCCGTTGAAAATACACAAGTATTAGTCTAACAAGAATCTGGCAAAGTTTTATTTGAAATGCATGTATATTAGTGATGCAAAAGCATAATTTCCAGATAACTAGGAAATGGGTAGATACCATTTCAAGCAATCGACAAAATTAAATCTGATATTGCATGCTTCTCCATGACCTTCACTTGTTTTCTCATCTGACATCCATAATTACGAGATATAAATCTTAATTGGACAAATATGGATCAAACAGCGCAAGACATAATTCATCTATCTATGAGTATAAAGCAATTAGTTGAAATTTATTAAATATCAATACCAGGCAGCTTACCAGTCAGTTTTTTGGTAAAAATAATTGAGCAACAGAATGGTTACCAGAAAATAAGAAAGAAATGGGGAATAAGAAGTTTTAATCATATCATTCGGTGTGGTCAACCAAGCAAATAATCTGAAGGTCGATTTCTGTAACCCTGCATTGTTCACAAACTGGCCTTGATTTGAGAATTATATGGGACTTGTTTCATGGTCTTTGCTAGTCAACAATTTACACAAATCTGAGAAGTCTTCAGCTGTCTTAACATTTTTCTTTTGCTAATATAAGAAAAGAGTATTACAGGGAAAATGTTTCTCATTGATCAATCGGTGGTCAACTCTCTTTTCTATGCCGAAAAAAAGCTCTCCACTTATCAATTTTAGTACTCAATCACATCTCAAAAGTTCTATATAATAAAAGGATATCTTAAGAAAGAATGTAAGAATATGGTTAAGGGGTTCCAGAATGCTTCATAGATCCAAAGAAAAATCATAATAAAAATGGAGAATAATAACAATACTCCCAGCAAAGTGTTCTCATGCAAGGTTTTAAATGTCGGATGTCGGGTTCATGTCGGATGACTAAAATTCATGTCGGATAGCGAAAATCGGGGATATATCGGGGGACATTGACTAAATATCGGATTGCCATATCGGGTAGTGCGCATATGTATAATATCATGTCCTAACTGTAATCTAAGCATTCATAAATTCAATATAAGCATACTTTATAAATTCTATAGACTAAACATATAAAAAAGTAAATAATATATGGATTTGGGTTCATAAATTCTTTCTATCGGATTCATAAGAAACCCTTAAACATGAGAATGGGTCAAACGGGTTTGGGTATTTATCACTAAATCCAAACCCGATAACAAAAAACAGATCTTAAAAAAAGTATCATATCGGCCGATTTTTCAAAGCTAAAAAATAGGCCAATATGCCCGAGATGACCCTGATATTTTCGATTTGACCCTGAAAACCGATATACGAGTTGAAAACGTCCATGTCGTGTCGGTCAAGCCCTCAAACCGATATGTCGGCCGACATGTCGGACATGTCGGGCGATATTTAAAACCTTGTTCTCATGTTTCCAAGTGGTTCTCAAAATTGATAGCTCGTCATCTGGTGGTAACAGGTACAAACTTTCTATAATGTTTAGGCCTCAGTAGATTAATGTTAGATCACAAGTAATTACTGTCTCAGCAATAAAGGATAGAATTGTAGTGGTAATACAATAAATGTCCTAAGAAGAAACAAGCTCTGAAGTACTGAATTAGGTCTATAAATGGTATTACTTCGAAAAAACAATGTTCGGTAAATAGTAGATGGTTTAGAAATGGAAAAGAATTTCTCCAGGTAGATCATGCAAATTTAGCTACACATGAAAAAAAAAGTACCTATAGGGAACCACGCCTAAATTAGGTCTTATTTCATGTCACCACTCTTAATTATCTGACTATCTGAGTTTCAAAATACCACCCTTATGCGCCGTTCCGTCAACATATGACAACATATGCCCACTGCCATCAAGCTTTCATCCAAGGAAGCTATGTAGCACGGACACGGATCCGACACAGCCATCCGACACGCCGACACGAGGCAAATCCTAAAAAATACATAGGATACATGTGTTCGACACGTGTGTCAAATCCTAAAAAATACATAGGATACATGTGTTCGACACGTGTGTCCGACACGGACACGACACGACACGGCTTCATGTTATGCATACATAGGATACATGTGTTCGACACGTGTGTCCGACACGGACACGACACGACACGGCTTCATGTTATGCATGTCCGTGCTTCATAGCAAGGAAGTATTGTTTGATGAAGTTACCCATGCATGTGGTATAGGCATGCCTATTTACGAAACAGTGACAGTGAGAAAACAAACAGAGAGGAGCAAAACTAGCCCTCAGATTTCACTGGGGTCAATAGGATGTAAGAATCAACGGAAGTCGGAAGGTACTCTCATTTCGGAAGAGGAACATGTCCTATTAGGGGCAATGTTTTAATGAGCGGTCTGGAGGGCCGCCTAAGCCTAAGCAGTACAATGGCCACCCACACCTTCTCCGGCCTCTCTAAGGGGCTGTTTGGTTGGCCAAAAATTCAAGAAAATCAATTATAAGAAATGTATTTCTTATAATGATTACATTTCTTTTGTTTGGTTCACACATTGAAACGAAGTGAAAAGATTATGTGGCATATTTTCATTAGCTGATGTGACTCATACTTAAGGAAACTCATTTCCTATATTTTTATAAGGAAATGAGTGTAAACCCTTTCTTAATTGTTTCCATCCTCAATTTCCTTTTCCTTTATTTCAAGGAAACCAACCAAACAGCCCCTAAACACTTCTAGCTCCCCAAAACATTCAGCAAACCCTACCTCTAGTTAAACAAAAAGAGAAATCCACCAGGCTGTGCCTATGCGCCTAACGTTTTATGTAATATTGATTAGAGGTATCAGTATAATAAGTTTTACATTAATGTTGATAGAAATTGGATGAAAGTGGGCATAGGTGGTTATGTGTTGACAGTACGACGTACAATGAATAAGCATGGTATTCTGAACCTCAGGTAATTAAGTGTGGTAACATGAAATTGGGGCTAATTCAGAGGCGGTTCCCTATCAAAAACTAAATATTGTAGATTTTCATGAGGTGCACATTTAGATTAAAAATACTTCCGATTACACAACATTCACATAATGCAATAATAAAAAGGGTAAACAGAACTGCGATCTCCTAAAATGCACTTTAATCTGATAATGGAAGTTAGGACAACCAAAAGACTTGCAGTTCGTAGTGTGAAAAAGAACACCTTTATAGCAACTTCTCCACTTCTTGTCTCATTCTTATTTTCTTTTATTCTATTATTGGAGAAATGCCCACTACAAAAGGAGAGGGGAGCACCCCCAAAGAAGCTCCAACTAAGGAAGAAAGACGATCTCACAATAGGGAAATATCGCACGAAGGAAGAAAAACAGACCAAAGAAGAGAAATAATATCTTCACATGTACAAGCATATAAGAATTGGGGCAGTTCAACCACCATTAGGAACATTGTAACTTATAACAAAGACATTACCATATAGTCACTACAAATTGAAAAAGGATTTAACTGAGATAACCATGAAAAGTCCTGATTATTGTCCATTCACAATGTCGCTTCCAAAATTGAATTGTTATTTACGAGCTTCTTCTATGTAGGCACATCGAATGTTCAAATCCCAACACAAATTTGATACTTCGTAACAATATGATCTTCACAGAAATAAAAGATTGTAAAATCAAATTAATGCCATGTCACAGATTGACTTAAAAATGATCAGAATGACAGGGACTCATTTTAAAATACATCTTGAAACATAACAATGTGATAAGAAACATACTTAAACTACTCAGAAGATCTAAAATTATAGAAAAAAGGAATATAATGTACAATTCAACAAACCTACAACAAGTGGGTAATTGATTAGACACGCAATGTGTTGTTAATATTAACATGATCATAAGAGACTTATTAAAAATAAAAACAAGCTAATCATGAGCATGAGCAATTCAGTAACCGAATAAGAACCTCACCATAAATATTCAATCATCATCCTCCTCCTCTGAGCTCCCAACATCACTACTATATTCACTGCTATACTCGTCCTGATCTGGGTTAATATCCAACTGCACATATTTAACCTGTATCGCCTCCGGCGCCTTCTGCACTGGTGCCGGAACCCTCAGCACCTCCTCCTTTATTCCCAACCACCACCCCATCAAGCGGCGGCAGCGGCCACTGGCTCCCAGCGCTTCCAGCCGGGTGGCACCGCGGCAGCTCCCATCGGCAGCTCCACTGCATCCCCTTCTTCACCCGGCGGCAGCCGAAATGCAGCATTGGCGGGAGGAATCCCCGCATCGCCGGCCACTCCTTCCTGGGCGGCGTGGGCTCCATCAAACCCTCCACACGGTCTCTGCCGCGGCCCTACTTTCCCTTCTCCAGCCAAGAGGCGCCGTCTTACGGGCACGGCCAAACATCGAGATGCCAGCAAAACTGGTACAATTGTGATGCCCGCATCTCGTTGTCCTGCGGAGGCGGTAGGGAGGGCCCCACCGGCAGCGGCAGCAAAGGCGCGATGGCTGCTCGGAGGGGCAAGGTGGTGTAGCTGATCTTGTGGCGTAGGCAAAGGCTTCATCGATGGTCGAGGTTGGAGTTGCTGTTGCGGAGATAATCAGAGTAATCGTCGCAAGGCGGTCAGAGGACGAGCTCAGAGTCCTTAAGCTTCGTTGCGAAGGAAGAGGAGGGGCGGGCCGTCGGTCGACTGATCTCGCGGGCGGATGGTTTTTGTGGAGTCTTGGAGGTCGAGGATCTCTTGAGCTCGGCCACGGATTGGAGAGCAGGTTTGGAGCGAGTGGAGTTGGAGAGCAGCTCTCTAGTCGACGCAGGCTGAGGACGGCGGCGGGCGCGCGGCGGCAGATGAACTGAGGAAAGAGGGCAGATCTGGTCGATAGGAAGAGGGACCAGATGAGCTCGATTTTGGCGAGAGCCTCGAAAAGGCGGGAAGAGAGAGAGGCCATTTGATTGAGGAGAGACTGAGCGCGAGGGAGAGGGGGGAGGAGAGAGAGGAGGGCTGTGGATTGAGGTTGAGAAGCTGAGGAGGAGGAGGAAGAAGATGATGGGGTTTTGTTGGGGTTAGGGTTGGGGTTAGGGTTAGGGTTTGGGGGAAGGGAAGGGGAGGAGGTGGAAGGGATCGAGGGGTTTGAGAGGCCCAGACGAGCTGGGGAGGGGATTGGAGGAGTGCCATGGCTGCTCTGCAGCATGATTTTGATTTTTGATTTTTGATTTTTTTATTTTGGATTTTGGAATTAGGGTTAGGTTCAGGGTTTGGGGCTGAGGGTTTGCTAGGGCTTCGATTTGTAGGAGGATCGAATATGGGAGGGTGGGGGTCGAGAAGGAGGAGGTAAAGTTGCAAGGTAATTAATACCTGTACGCTGATGAGCCTGGATAGAGTTCTTGAGAGGAGGGGAGCGGGAGGTTCACAGTGCTAATTTATTTACATTTGCTATGTCATCACCCCTCTAACTACAGTGCAGACGTTACAGGCACACCCTCGGACACACCTTAGCCTCACGCGCTCGCCTGCAATCTTCGAGTTTGCCTGCAGCAGGCCGCTCGAGCTCGCCAAACCAACTCGAGCTCGCCTTCAATCATCCAAGTCTGCCTGCTCGACTTCAGATCTCGCCTGCAGCTAGGGTTTCGAGCTCACCTGAGTTCGCCCGCTTGAAGCCCTCTTCGAGCTCGCCTGATCCGCGCCACGACCTCGCCTGTTCCACCCTCGCCTGAGTGAAGCTCGCATGCGGGTCTTCTTCGAGCTCGCCTGCAATCAGTCGCGAGCTCGCCTGAGCTGGACCTCGTCTGAAGCCCGCCTTCGCCTGAAGGTTGTTGCCGCTGACCTCATGCTCGCCGGAGCCGACGAGGTTTGGGTCTACACCCAATTTCCAACAATCTCCCACTTGGAGACCAAAATGCCGTCAGCAAGCTCTCTCTTAACAAGCATCTTCTCCTGTATGGCTCCGCCCTCATCTCCTATATATGAAGGCCAATTGAAGTTGCGCACAACTCTAGTTTTTGAATGGTGACTGCCTTAGTCAACATATCTGCAGGATTTTGGCTCCCCAAAATCTTCTCTAATTGTAACTTCCCGTCCTCAATCATCGAGCGTATGAAGTGGTAACGTAACTCGATGTGCTTCGTTCTGGCATGAAATATTGGGTTCTTGGCAAGGTGTATAGCACTCTGCTTATCACAATAAAGAACTTCGTTCCCCCGCTTCAGACCCAACTCATCCAGGCACCCGATTATTCAAATCATCTCCTTGCTCGCCTCAGTCACTGCGACATACTCTGCCTCAGTTATGGACAACGTCACAATCTTCTGCAAACGTGAGACCCAGCTCACTGTTGTCGACCTAAGGTATAAACATACCCCGTGGTGCTTCGCCTTGTATCATGATCACCGGCGAAATCCGCATCCACGTATCCCTGCAGTACAAACTCCTTTCTCCCGAAACACAGTGGCATATTCGTAGTCCCTTTCAGATATCATAATATCCACTTGGGTTGTTTGCAAACCTGCTCACAACTCCCATTGCTTGGGCAATATCCGGTCTCGTTCAAACCATTACGTACATCAGAATACCAATGGCTGATGAATAGGGCACCTTCCTTATGTGCTCCTTCTCTGCATCAATGTTGGGTGATTGCTCATTAGATAACTTGAACAGACTTCCAAGGGGCGTGCTAAAGACCTTAGCATTCTGCATGTTGAATCTCTGAAGTACTTTCTCAATGTATTCAGGCTGACTCAACTTCAACACCCCGTCAGCCGCATCCCGGCTGATCCGCATCCCAAGAATCTGTTTTGCTGTACCCAGATCCTTCATAGCAAACTCCTTTGCTAACTGCTTCTTCAGCTTGTTTATCTCCTGTAAACACGATCCTGTAACTAACATGTCATCAACATACAGTAATAACATGATATAGCTGGACTCGAACCTCTTGAAGTAACAACAATGATCTGAATTGCATCTGCCATATCCATTGCTTTGCATGAAGTTATCAAACTTCTTATACCACTGTCTTGGGGCCTGTTTCAATCCATATAAGCTCTTCTTGAGCCTACACACCATCTCTTCCTTTCCTTCCTCAATGAAGCCAACATGTTGCTTCATATAGATTTCTTCGTCCAAGTCATCATGAAGAAAGGCAGTCTTCACATCTAACTGCTCAATGTAGAGATTTTCAGCAGCTACCAAGCTCAACACCACCCTGATGGTTATGAGCTTCACAACGAGGGAAAATATCTCTGTATAAGCCACTCATTCCCGCTGTTGGAACCCCTTCACGACTAATCTGGCCTTGTATCTCTTCATTCCATCACTCTCTTGCTTGACCCGATAAACCCACTTGTTATGTAAGGCCTTCTTCTGTGCAGGTAGCTGGGCTAACTCCCATGTCTTGTTCGAGAGGAGAGAATTCATCTCTTCTTGCATTGTATGCTCCCATTGCTCAGATTTGCTCACTTGCATAGCCTCCTCATAGCATTCTGGTTCTCCGCTATCTGTCAAAAGTAGGTAGTCTAATGAGAAGAGATAACCGAGATTCCGTTTGGGTACCCTAGATGACCTCCTAAGCTTATCGTGCTGTGTAGTCGGTTCTGCACCTGGAGTCTCCTCTGTTCTTCTGTCAGAATTGACATTGTCTTCCCCATATGAAAGCAAATCCATGTACCCGGATGCGTCCGCATCCGTAGTGCTGCTCCTACTGCTTTGGCCCGCCTTGGCATTGCCCCTATCCTTGTATATCACTTCATTATTGAATATGACGTCTCAGCTTCTGATGATCTTCCTGTTCTTCTCATCCCAAAGATGATACCCGAACTCGTCAATGTCGTACCAATGAATGCACACTTCAACGACTTAGCTTCCAACTTGTCCCTAACATGATCACTGATATGGACATATGCCACACAACCAAAGACTCTCAAGTGTGAGAGATTAACTTTCTTACCACTCCAAACCTCTTCCGAAATCCTAAAGTCCAATGGAACTAATGGCCCGTGATTTATCAAGTACGCTGCTATATGTACCGCGTCCGCCCAAAAAGTTTTTGGCAGACCTGCATGTAGACGCATGCTCCTTGCACTCTCTGTCAGCGTTCTGTTTATTCTTTCTGCTACGCCATTCTGTTGCGGCGTCCCTGGAGTAGTCCTCTCCAAACGAATCCAAATTCAGAGCACAGAACTTCTTGAACTCCTCCAGCTCATATTCTCTACCATTGTCTGATCTCAGACACTTCACTTTCAGATCTGTCTCATTCTCCACCATGGCTTTCCACTTCTTGAAGATGTTGAACACCTCTTACTTGTGCTTTATGAAGTATACACACACCTTCCTCGAGTGATCGTCGATAAAGGTGACGTAGTACGCCGAACCGTCAAGAGAGGACATGCTAGCTAGACCTCATACATCTGTATGAACAAGCTCTAACTTGTGAGCTTTAGGTGGTCTTCCACCCTTCAGAAAACTAACTCTCTTCTGCTTCCCAAAGATGCAGTCTTCACAAACACCGACTTCCACCGAATCGATGCCGATTAGCTTTCCTTCTGAGTGTAGAATCTTCATACCCTTCTCACTCATATGTCCCAACCCATTGTGCCACAGATCTACACTTTCCTTGCTTATAGCAATTGCGATAGTGTCACTCGCGTGTGAAGTTAGGTAGATGGTACCGATCTTGTTGCCACAGGCAACCACCATTGTACCGTTAGAGATTTTCCACGAATCTCTGGTGAATGTTGTAACATAGCCTTTGTTAGACCCTAGAGGGGGGTGATTAGGGTCTTATGCTAATATAATTTAATTTTATGCCAATTAAAAGTAATTAATAAGTTATCCTAGCAAGTATGAAATACAACAAGATAAATGAGATAGGATAAGCAATATGAATAAATGAATATATCCTAGCAATGAGATATTACAATTATATGAGCAAGGATATATAAACCACACAAGGAGAAACAAACTAAACTAGATAGTGGGTTAAATAAACAATGAGCAATACACAAAGGTGATATAAGATATGTGCATGAAAATAAGTGCGTCAATGCAATCACAAACAAATGATATGATCACGGAGTTCGATCTAACCACTTGACCTACGTCTCCACTCCTCACCTCGAGGAGATCTCCACTATCACAATCGGGTTTTCTATGCTTACTCGAATAACGTTTACACCTCACACTCGGTTTTCTAGTTTACCGAAAACTCTACAACTCACACACTCTTGTAATCCCACTTTATACCCTCTAAGTGTTGGCCTAGCTCGTGTCCTCCTCCTCAAGTGCTCGGATACAACCTCTCCCAAGGTTTGTCAACCGACGCCACTCCTCTTGGATTTGACCCCGTCTCTCACTACACACTCCTCTCGGTGTACAAGTGTATTACAAAGAGAACCTCACAATAAGCACAATACAATAAATAATTGTTCTCTAATATGGATGAGAACACAATGAAAGCTCACACTCAATTGTTACAATACTCACCAACCCAAATATACTATGTATAAAAATACAATAAGCTCAATGTGGGTGTGTGTAAACAATGAGTGAAATAAAATCTAACTCAAATAGAAAACTAGCAATAATAAGAATATGAAAATCAATAATAAAATTGCTAGAGAAAAGAGTTGGAAAACTTTTCTATAAACACAAAGAGAGAATAATGAAATATTAAAGATGAACTCCTCAACAACTGATGTAAGCTCCTCTTTGTAAAAACAAACCCTAAACTTAAAACAAACTAAAACAGGTTTAAACCCTTGTTAAACTTTTGTTTAAAAACTTTTTGGATAATGTCTAGTAGAAGGGGTTTGAGGGGTTTATATAGGAAGAGAAACCAATAGCAAAAACCCCAAAGGAAAAGACCAAAAAGCCTAAGAATCAGAAATCAGATTATGTACAAAAATAACCGTTGGGGTGAACGGGTGTCGACCGTGAAATTCTCGCGGTCGACCGCGAGCCACTTTCGAGCCTGAGAAATTTCCAGAAAGTTAGACAGTCGACCGTGGGAATTTTCGAGCTGACGGTCGACAGTGACGGTCAACCACGAAAGTTGCTGATAGGGAAAATCAAAGGCGCGGTCGACCGTAAACTGACATATGAGAAAACAGGTTTGAAAGTTGATTTTCTGATTTTAAAACCCTAATTAGAAATATCAAATAAATTTCAAAAAATATAAAACTTTAGAGAATGATTGTAGACATGATAATAAACATGCTACAAAGACTGGTTTTTAAAAAGGACCTCCCAAATAAAAAATATCATCATTTTACAAAATAGTCCAAAACATAAAAATGTAAACATATGAATTTTGATATTTTGGCTAAACCATGTTTTGAAACAATACAAAATAATTTTGTAGACTTAATAAAAGATGTAAACTATT